GTTTAAGTACGTGACACAGTACCTCATTTCAGTATAAATTAGATAATTTCCTAGAATTATGGATTTGATGCAAGGGAGAAGATTTGAGGACGATAACACGAAATTAAATCTGAACATTAACAAAAACGATTTCGGATACGAGAAACTGGTGCTGCCATTTCCATGCCTTACCAAACAAGCAAAATTATTTCAATGATTTCACGGTCGAGTTATCTACCCGATGGGACTGGCAGTGAACCTTGTTATTGACAGGATCTCAATGAGTTCAATTTCAGTCTTCCTATTACATATTGTGAAGGTATCGCGTATTCCTTTTGTCGAATACCGCAGAGCTCGTCGTACGTACGCGTCGAGCGCTAAGAACGTTCAGAATCCGAAATCCCTAACCAATAAAGATCACATATACGAACCAGAAAAGAACTCTTTCCAACAACATCTTTTGAACACGAAATTGAGAATTCGGCTATAGTGAAACTCATTTAGGAGAATGGGTTATTTTTTTATTCAGTTTACCCACAGCGATAAAGAAAATCTACTTCAATAGCGAGCGAGGAAAAATTTCACGTATTTAGATGTAAAGAGCTTTGAAAACAAGTTGGTGTTTCGCACGTGGCCATCTAGTAAATAATTCATTGAATTTTAGTATACATTTATTCCCTCACCACTAGGGCCGTAATAAAAGTTTGCCATGAAACTTCTCGAAACTATAATCAAATCACTAACACGTAAGAATTAACGTTGTAGATATTAAACTAATTCAAGTTTCGAAATTATTCGCGGTCGACTGAGTATCGAGGGTTAATTAAATAAGTTTCGTAAGCACCACGAAACTAGGAATATTAATTGCAGTTCTTTCCTAAGTTATAAATAGGATATGTTTGCCACAGATGAAAATCCAGCTTTCAGTGTGAAAAAGCACGAATTCAATTATACCCTGCCAAATCAACTGAGACTATAACAAAAGTGACAAAATAAACGCTAATTTTAAAAACAGCTCCTCCATTGTCTCTAATACGTCAAACTCCTATCTTTGAAATTAAATCGATGTCAGGGATTCAAAGCTTTGTGGTAAAATGAAATACAAATGCTATTGTTTTAAATTAAGATACGGCTCAACAGTTGATGGAAAAAAATTAATGTAATTTCCGTTGGCACCCGCAATTAGCGGAAATGCGAATTTCCCAAGCTACGTGCTTTATGCACCACCATTAATTCAGCGTTATATCGTGCAAAATGTATAATTACTATTTGGACAATGTAATCACTTCAAGAATTCTTTTGTATTTCGTTACATTTAAAAGATAGGGAAAAACGAGAAGATTTACAATTTTCGGTGCTATTACAAAAACGAAACATTTGACTGTTATGTTGCCCTTCTTGTATCTCGTTTGAAGTCGCGCAAAAAATATCTTTTGGAGCACAGAATATTTCGTACACTGTATGAGATAACGAAAATTATTCCCTCCATTCTCATTCTCTATTTTCAATTTGATATTTAGTTTGACGTTGACGTCCTTGGTCCGTAAGAGTCATAAAAACATGCAAAATCCGTTTAATCCTAACTTAAAAAGTTTTCGTTTAGACAGCTGAGGGGAAGTTTAATGGAAGGTTTACTTTACTTTTAGCACTTAGCTCTACACTCCCCAGCACCCCTACTTATAATAGGTATGCATATGCACCCCATTTCAAACACCACAAAATTTGTTTTACAGAGATAGCAAAGAATACTCTTTGGAGATCCTAGAAAATCATTTGGATGGTTTTCTTATGAATTCATTTTAAAAAAAAACAGAGACAGTTACAAAATTACTGCATACTGGGGGGTATAGAATATCCCTCAGTATACGAAAACCTTATGATTAATATAGGAATGAGAACATTATCGTATAGTGGGGGGTACCCCTCGGTTCTAGATTCTTCCCCAAAACATATAGTGCACACACCACTTAAAACTTAATTTTTTGGAAACAGACCATGAAAAGTGACACCTAGAGCAGTGTTTCTCAACCGCCGGTCCGCGGACCGCTACCGGTCCGCAAAGAATCTTTGCCGGTCCGCGAAAAATCCACACATCGCGGTCAAATAAGTTGGCGTGGGACTCATCGCACAAAGTACAAATTATCTAGCTAGTGGAAGATGCGCTTTATAAATAAGACCTTTACGTAGGCAAATTCAATAATTCAATAATCAATAATTGGGGTACCTTTGTAAATGGTGTTATTCATAAACGCATCTTCTACTGCGAATTTCCGAATTTCCACCCACGAAAAATGACTTTTGTACAAATTGGGAACGCGAAAACACAGCTCCAATTTGTAAAAAATTTTTAGGGGGGTGGACCTACCCCCCCTCTTCTTTTTTCAGACCCCCCGGTCCTCAAGACCTCAAATATACACACTTCGCCGGTCCCTGCACCACATACGGTTGAGAAACACTGACCTAGAGTATGGAATACCCCCCAGTACAAGAATATCTTTATAAGTATAGAAAAGGTTTACTTTACCATCACATGGATTCTTGATTCAGAAATGGAAATTTCTAATCAATTTCCGTTATTATCCCGGCTAGATTTTAGTGACAAAAATTCACAATTAATTACGATAGAATTTCTCCTTCTTCCTGAAAATTTTCTTCAATTTTTTCTTATATTTTATTGACTATGTTTGCTTATCAAATCTAACACCAAATTACCGTAACGTTTTTAATATACATACCTATTGATAAAAAATGTGCGATGTGCTTTCCAATCACATTTCATTTTTTTAAAACTTTATAAGTAATTAAACCTGGCCAAGATATTTTGAATGAAATATTCTTAATTTATCTTACATCGAAGAACAACAAAATACACCATGATAATCAATTTTTTAAAGAAAAGATTATTGTACAATAAATGTTGATCATGTTGATCTTCCGGTGATGATTTGGTTGATTGGAGTGGTTTAACCTTACATTTCTTACCTAAGCATGAGATATATAGGTTCGAGCGTGAAAGTTGCTGAGTAAACGTTGTTTTTTAATTGTGTGGGTTTGGAAAACAACTGGGATTGGTTGAAAAAAGAGCTTTAACCAATGAAAATTAATTAATGGTTCCCTTTATTAACATAAAATTTATATGGGTAATTTTCTTAAAGGATGTATCAACATTTAAAGATTTGGTTATAAATGTAAATTGTCATTTTTAACACCCCTTTGAATTTGGACTATCCACAAACTACGTTATTTTAACGATTTGACTCTAATCTTTCTTCTTTCTAGAGATAGAGGCCAAAATTTTGTTAGATATAGTTGAGCTAGTCGCCGGCAGTTAATCAGTTTTTTTTAACAACAGGCAACAGGCGCACAAATATCACGGCTTCTTGTTAAAAAACAATACGTGGACTATAATTGAATATACACACATAACATAAGGTTTTTTTCCAATTAAATCCAATTTCCCTTTCACACCTGAAAAGGTTTTCAGATCTTTTTCGGAAACAGATTTTCCCGTATTGTTTATTATTACAGAATTTTCTTTAGCTTTTAATCACTCGAAGGTAATTTTTATTCGAACGTTAGCTACTCGTATTCCCTTTTTCGCTCGAAAATGCACACCGCTTGAACTTCTTAACATCGCGGCGAAAATAAAATTCCTTCCAAAGTGTTTAAAGGAACACCGGAACTATTACGTTTTGGCCGCAATTACGACGCTAATTTTTGTAATTCTAGGCTACGTGGCTCTCAGAAGACGAATGCTCCCTACTATATAATTCGTAATGACATCCAAAACAAAAAATCGCGAATTAAAGTAAAATGGCGCTAAACTCCCTATTGGTGAGTGAGCAAAAGATTCCAACCAATCCCGAACGGCTGTTAATTATTTTAAAAACAAAATAGTTAACATTATTCGCGATAGTTTTACTTCATGATGATTCCGAAATGTAAGGTTATATTCCTGTTAAAACGGATGTAATCCTATCCCTACACCAGCCGGGAAGGCGACTTAGGGCATTAGATAACAAAGAGACCAATGCAAACCCTTGCATAAAAAAATAAAAAATGACGCATATTCCATTGACTCCAATCATTCAGATAAATTCTTTATTTTATTATACTATTTGTTCAGAACCTTGACATTATTATATTAAAACTTCTACTTTTTCGAGAAAAATTTCAAAACACTCCCGTTATACCATTGAATAAAATAGTGTTTTTATTCAATGATTTTATATATTTCACATTTTGATTCTATATCACTTTCTGATTGCCACTATTTGAGCTCTACATGACGCCTTTGAGAGATTTTCAATACAATATTTACGTTTCGTTTCGCAAGAATCATCAACTTTATTTTTTTATATGGCCCGTAAAAAAAGTGCACTGTATGAGTATCATTTTTTATTACAATTACAAAGATAGTAAGTAGGACACCGCACATGCACAATAGCATTTCAATACACGAGACTACCAAGAATTTAACATGATAAATATAATTATAAAACACATTTATTAAGATACAAGGGCACCAAGGATTTTAAGTGTGCCCAGTGCGATTTAATCACCAAACTCTTAAATCACATCTTAATATCTAAATTTTGTTTTTTGTTAACCCATAGACCTAGAATTTAAAATGTGACCGGTGTGATTTTGTCAAATTCAATTTTAAAACACATTTATTAATACACAAGACCAGGAAGAATTTCAAATGCGTAAACATCTTTATATTTTATGGAAATAACAAGCAACACGCCAGTGAAATGCCGAGAATGTTAACTCACTGCGCATGATCGGTATTCTACTGTCTCTCACATATGTTGGCACAGATTTAGAGGATGTAAGCTATATGTCTCTTTCAGAGCGACGAACGGTGATTCGGATGGTAATGAAATTAAAGAACGTTTCTACGTTTTCGATATATTTAGACTTAGAGGATCATCCGTTCCAAGTTCCATCTATTAGAGCATTCCATTGATTCGAAAAATGCCTTACACTTTCAAGTACGTGTCGCCATAAAGTTGACATGCGGCTGTGGTTCACCCTTCAATTCCTTCTATTCATCTCATTTTTTTTTTCAATTTAGCACCTTATTATTCCAAAGTAACTATTAGCATAACAATATGGTATTTGAATCTCCAGAGCTCCTTTAAAGAAGTAGGTAAAACATTATATAGGAGAACGACAAACTTTCAACGGATCGATAAACTGTCTTACAATTTTAACCAAAGCGGCAGTAATTCGCTACTGAATTGCGTAACAAGGTAAAATACCTTTACATCCCTTAAACATTTGTATCGGAGAATACGCCTCACAAAAACAGCTCCAGTAGCACAAACTTTAAATTAGATCGGAATAGATTTCGTGCGGACTATTCAATTAAGCAACATTAATCGAGTATAACAGCTAGCCAAGTTTAATGAAATTAAAGAGGCCGGAAACTTATAATACTGCTCCATTGCAATGTACATCGACCAAATCCGATGTGCTAGACTTCCGACCATAGAAATTTAAACGTTTAACATTTCAAAGAATTTAAAACTGCCGTATCCATTGTTTAATTTACAGTAACGCCTGTTTTGGGGGTTCCTCAGTTTGTAGCGCTTTTGAGAGTTTTTTAATGGGATTTTTGTGATGGAAGTAAAAAGTAACTATACGAAAGTATAAGTTAAGCCACTGACCGTTTGAAGAAAAAACACACGAGCGCGAAATTTGACTCACGATTCAAGCATATTTCCCTAAAAGAATGGGTCCCATCCACTTTCATTCCTTATCGCCGGTGACTAAACCTTTATCGACTTGATGACGCCCCGATGTCGATGTTTAGAATATCAGCTACATTAGTGAAGTTGCCTCTCAAAATGACACATGCTTAATAAATCAGACAATGAACACTGTAAATTACCCCAGACGTTGTAAGTACCATTTAAGGAAACCTATATAGTGAATAGCATTAACTATTTTATATAGTTTTTCCCATGCCCAGCACTTCTTTATCCGGAGTAGAAATGCTTTACTATGGCCTACAAGGAAAAATTTATGACGACGCCTTACCACAAACCGTCGTCTTCAATCGCAAAAGGTATGTCTTACATATGTTATTACTGTGAAAACTTGTGTTAACGCAGAAAAGTTAAAAAAGTCCACCGCAGTTCAAACATTCAACATTATAGTTGAAGATTCTGTTCTGGGGCATCCGGATTGTGCACGTTTTCCTACCGAAATTGATCCATAATCATCGGATGTGACATTCACATACATTCAGGTAGGTAATTCCTAGATCTTTCCCGCCTCAGATCTCAAATCTTAAATCTAGATGGAAAAATCAGGAAATAAATATCTTTAAATCTGTACAAAGAGAAAGTGACTGCGACAGCACAAACTCCAAAATGTGTGAGTTTGATTTCAAGATGTAGAACAATATAGTGGATACCGTGGAGGAAAAATGCCAAAGATGGTTTTTGTTGGCAGGCCGGATGATCGAACCCAGCTTCTTCGGTAAGGCCTCACCACTCGCCTACCGCTCCTTCTGTAGAAATCTTTTAAAGGTCAAATAAATGCAATCTTTAAATCGGAACTAATTTGCACTATTGATATTTCATCTCTTTTATAACAGAAAATGATGCTGTTCCTCGGTTCTACTAGATTATTGATATGATTATATTTCTGTAGTAAACGGTCCCTCTTGCGCATTGTCTGATTACCATAGAATGAGAATAGAAAATCTCTAAAGGATTATTTCCAGCGTGCATTTTTCCTTCGATACCTTACCTATATATTGCAGGCAGACCATAGCATCCTTGAGGCAGACCTATACCATTGGATAAAAAATGCCTATACCTAGCGGGAAAAATGAAACAGAGAGAAAGAAACAACTTCAAAGATTACAGAGAACGGAGGTTGTAAACTAAACTCTGCAATTTAAACACCGAGATGATATTGACACTTTCAAACTACTTTGCAACATCATTATCTTTAACTTGATAGATGCGGCACGTATTTTTCACGTTAGGTTGTACTTTCACCTAAGCGATTAGAACAACTTTAATGGACTAAGTATACTGAAATGGTAATTATAATATTTAAAACCTAGTTTAAAACCGTGATTTTTAATAAATTTATTCACGTCTTCTGTTGAGCTTGAATTTCGCGATTTTACGATTGAATTTCTTTTCCACATATGATAAACTGAAAAAGTGCTCAACAAAGTTTAATATCGAGCAATTTGGAGCAAATTCGATTGACCGATAAAGTAAGAAACAAACGGAATATGAAAAATAATGGAACCACTCTATTATCGGTTTTTCAGTCACATTACCTCTAACAATCGATTTATTTTGCGAAAAAATGAAAATGTAAATTCTCATTGGAAATCAAAGTGAAAGGTTTTATTTTACAAAAGCCATAATTATTGTGCAAATTGTTCAACACGCCCTACGGGATGCGGAAAATCAAATTATGTACGGTTTCAAACGATGAAAAACAGTAAGCTTAAAAACGGCTCGCGTAAAATTAAGGATTCAAAACGCATAATGAACAGAAGAACGAACAACTTGTTATATAACGATGGAATAATAGGGCGAAAAATCAGTGTATTAAAATGCTGTATAAGTTCTATCTTCCAAAAAAAAACAATCGGGTGATTATAATTTGCAGCTTGAAGCATTTTAGTGCATATCATTGTCATTTATTTGACAGTGGCGGATCAGTGAGCAATATTAATTTAAAAAATTCGCATGTTGTATAATTTTATTTATCAAACACTTGTTTGTTTTAAATCACTTCTTTACCGTGATTGTTCAAAATGTCCACAATCATGTTTACAACACAGCTACACTGTTTCGTGCCCGTTCTAACTTTGCTAGGGTTATTCATTAGTTCCTATTCCATTGAATTTCCCAATTTTACCTGTTTCCCCTCTTCTCTAATAAACAAGTTAAAAAGTCATTATATGCAAACATAAATGACGAGAGCGTATTTTCCTGCTATAATATTAATGCTAGGACCGGGAAAAAATATCGGTAGGCACGAGATCCTTACCCCATTCTCTTTCAAATGAGCCGCCTATCGTCGAAGTCTACACAGTTTAATGAAAAATAGTGAAGCGTATACAAATACAAACAAATTTTGAAATGGGCATTAGTTTTACTTTTATTCGAAGTGTCTACATATGAAACTTTTTTTAAATGCTTTCGAAAATAGCATTGCGCATTGTCTATATTAGAAATTTCATTTAGTACCTTCATAAATAAAACATACAGCATGCGTTAACAGTAATTTTGAAACCGGTATTTTCATTCAAGGTGCCTACATATATTTCATTTAACTACTTTTCACTCAACGATTTAACTGCTTTCATAAATAAGAAAGTTGCCATTGCGCATGCGCAAAACCAAATTTTGCAACTGGTGTTAGATTTGTTTTTATTCCAAATGCCTATGTATAACATTTCATTTAAATGCTTTCATGAATAAGTAAATTTGGCACTGCGCATGCGCAAAACAACATTTTGAAAACGTCGTTAATTTTAATTATATTGGTAGTGTTTACATATAAAGTTTCATTTAAATATCTTCATAAATAAAAAGTTAGCATTGCAAATGCGTTAAACAAATTTTTGGCACTGCCCATGCGCAAAACCAAAAATATTGGTATGCACGGAATCCTTGGACTAAGCCCTTTCAAACGAGCCTATATCGCTCAAATCGGTTAAGTGGTGTAGAAGGAGTACGTGTGACGGACGGACGACAAAGTGCAGCCAATAGCGGTTTTTCACTTTGAGGAAAATACGCTAAAAATAAAGAATTTATGAAAATGTTCTCACCTTTAGTTGTTACACCACTGGTGAAATCAAAATATTTTCAAATAAAGAAAATGGATCGACCTAGATCAAAACCAAATTCAAGTAATAGTTTATTTACGATCCCTATCTGGCAATGCTCCCCCCCGTCTAGTCTAAAGCACTGCAACCGTTTAATATGAGAAAATAACAAGGTATGTAAAATTCGCCCCTTTAAAATACTTATAAGTGTCTTCAAAGGGTCCCTCCACTCTCCAGTAAGAAAAAATTTGCCCAAATACCACTCGCACACCTGCGCATGCGCGTTCAGCCCTTTCTTTTATGTTTAAGAATATGTGTACCAAATTTGGTTCCAATCGGTTCAGCCGTTTTGTACAGACCGACAGATCGACATCATCGAGATTTTGTTTGATTTGGATTACCGGCGCTTCAAGACGTGTATTTTCGTCAAAAAAGTGGGGGGTCATCTTTTATCCCAATGCAATACCTCCCTTACTAACGAGCGTGTGGTAAAAACAATAAACTTTAAATATCTTACATATGGAAAATTTCAAGTTGAAATATACACGACTTCTTTTGGAACGTGATTCGGCAGCTCATTTGCTATTTCCAGATCTTCCTCTACACGTACAATTGATCCAAAAAAGCATCTACAAAAGGGAAAACCATCACTACAACAGAAATCCTTTAAATGAGGTGACTCCTCGAGTGACTCCTTTCCAGCTTTTGTTTTTTTTATGTGTCGTATATCGTTGTATTTGTAATAAAAAACAAGTATAAATTGAGCACAACTCTTACGCAGATAAAGCGCATTTTTTAACCGAAATATCTTTTGTTTTGATATCACCAATGGATATATTTCTTGCAGACGTCTCAATCGCCCTTTGTGAGGACCCTCTTCCGACAATCCGTTCTTGAGGTATAAGGGAATATACCCGATCACGATAAAAGGTCGAGGAGGAGGGCTATGGTTGGTAAAAATTAATTCCTTTCGTTGAGACCTTTCATTAGAGTACCGTGAAGGATAAAACTAGTTCCACTCCCCTCCCCCTTCCACCCCGTACTTTGATATGAGGACAGAAAGAAGGGAAGTAGTTGGTAGTCGGTTCCTTTTGTTGAGACCTATAATTCGTGGGGGGGGGGGCTTTTAGACAGCCGTCTGGCACACCTTCAAGGTATAGGCTACCTACTGCAAAAAATTCCAGGACTCTAGGACTATTCCCCTAGAAGTAGTTCAAAGCGGCAGAAGTGGGTCCGGACGGACGGATGGACGGACGGACGGACGGACAAAACGCAAACAATAGCACATTTTTTTTAGTTCTTTAAAAATGCGCTAAAAATACAACCCAATACATTATGGTCCATATAAAAAATAAAGTTGAAGATTTCTCCAAAACGAAACGTTGTATTGAAAATCTATCAACGGTGGCCAGGCTGCCCCTATGCAAAAATTAAAACCCGCCGCCCCTGACGGTGGCATTCAAAAAGTTTTTTTTTGCATCTGTTCAAATAGAAAAAATTCAAAACGAAATCGGAAATTTCGGCTTTTCTGGAATATAATCGGAATGTTCTTGTATTTATTTATACAAAAAATAACTGTATAATTGCGCAACTTTTCTCTAATTTGACCATGGTCCTATCTTCTATGGTTTCGGAGATCCCAATGATATAAAGTAAATTTATAGGTTACCAAGGTTACGATTTTGAAAAACAACATTGCACAAGGCGAGCGCTAGTAAAATGTAGTGAAATGGACTTGTTCAGTTAAGTGTCGTCAAAGTTACTCATCCGCTGTAAACAACTTTGTGTGCAATTAATACGTTTTAATAAAATTAATTCTGTTCGAGCATTACTCTGAATTTCGAAATCAATAAAACCTTCCCGTTACCAGCCAGAATTCAGCATCAACAACTTTCCAAGGTTGGACAGCGCAATGTGTAATTTTAGACACAATTTGTAACTTTTAAACATTTTCCACTGTAATCAATATTAGTGTATGAACTCAACCGAAAGTAAAAAGTTTAAATTCAGTACTAAGTAACGGAAGTGTTCTAACTGAGTTAAATATATATTCCGTATTTTTTCTTTGTTCATTTAAAGGGCGTTAAGAGTAAAATAGAAAGTGGCATAGTATACCTACAATTTTGGACACTGTATATTCAATGAAGCTATCATTGAGTTTTGGAAGGCTGTAGATGAAGGCTTAAATTGATTGCTTTTAGAAGCTTAATATATTTCATTGTTTTGGTCGTGTGTATTTATTTGCCACCAAAAAAGCATACCCCGCATTACTGAAGATATGGCAGTAGTTGTTTTACAACAAACAGTGTAACGCATTTCTAACTCGTTATATTATTTAATTCTTCTCCATTCCTATTAACAGTACATTTCATGTGTTCTTTTGATTTATGAATATTAACTAATCTGTGATACGTTTGACGTTAAACTATTGCAAATTGGTCTTAAATAAATAATAAGTTTGAAATTCAAACGAAAATGGCGAGGAAAGCAATGATATACAGAATGATGGTAACAAAAACTGTTTTTCTAATGATAATTTCTTTAAATGTTTTTATAAAATAAGTGCACGAGCTGAAAGCTATAGCGAAACTTCCTCCATGCCGCTCGTTACGCGTTTTCAGCTTTTATACTATAAATAACTACTTTCAAGCAGATGGGGAGG